CTTCAGCCTGCAGTGTGAACATGGCCTTAATGATTTGATAGACTAGTTACAAGAGTCATTTTTAAAAACCAAAACATTGAGTCACTTTTGCAGTGTAACACAAATGAAAACTAGCAAACAAAAGGAAAGCTGGAGGTGACAAAGTTGGAGTATTAGAAATACCAATAATCCACATTACTTGCTTGGAATTTTTTCAAAAAGGTAAGTACTCACCAGCCTATTTTTAAAATGAAGTTTTCTTAGGTAACAGAGGGCAGCTTGGTAAAAGAACAAAATAATTCATTGTCAAATTCATAAGTGTTCGTGTGAACAATGACAATGACATAAGGGTTTAGAGGCTAGTTGCAGGACTGTCACCAGTAGAGGCAAACTTGCTGTTGAAAGGAGAAGCTGTTCCATGGCCTGTGGGTCTGATCCTCATCTACCTTCAGCAAATGAAGAGCCAGCAGCTTTAGGTCATATGATCTACAGGGAAAACGTTGGTGATGTAGGAAATGAGATACATATGGAGGGAGAAGCCATCAAGAATCCATAATCGAACACTAAAAGTCTTTGCATTTGATCCTTATCTGAAAGCCAAGAGGCATCAAGATACGTGGAAGACAAGAAACAAGCAATGGGATGTGAGCTGGAGCCCTATATGAGCCCAAAGGAGCTGCTGTACTACCGAAGGAGTATTTAAAACTTGTCCATTTTAACTGGATGCAATAAAAGGTGCGAACCAGACCATGGGCTCTAGCGTTAATACCAATCGCATGCTAAAGACACTCAGTAAGTCATGGCCTACCTAATCAAATGCAAACATAAGAGTCAAGATCATGTCATGAGTCATCAGTGGGCCATTTAACACCTACATACTGCAGGAGTTCATTTTCTCTTCACAAAGCCTTGAAACCTGACCGAAAATGATCAAAAAATTGTTATTGAGAGAAACAGCCTTAGTGTTTTCGTTGCCATTATGCTCCACCACTGGTACAAATAGTACTAGGAATTACACTGTGCAAAACCTGTTTCAAAGCCCAGAAGGCATAATATTAAGGGAACAAGCTGCAAGGTTCATCTGCAAGTCTCTAATAAGTAAACAACACTCTTCCATCGCAGCAAACCTTTGACAGCAATGCTGGCCATTAAAATACAAGCAAACACCCAACTCTCATATATTATGCTTCCTTAAGGAAAAACTAGCTTTGAAGACATATGACAACTTGTCACTTCTCACAATCGGAACATTTAGCATGGTATTTGGGAACAGTTTGCTAAAAACTGCAGCTGAGATGACTGATCAACACCTTTATAGGGAGAGTAAATTACAACTCCACGACAGAGGTAAAGTTGCAGACAGCCACAACCACAAACTACGGCCCACACCAACAAGCAACTGGTCCAAATGTGCACAACAGGACAGCTGTAGTGTGCGCCTCACAGATGCATCTGAAACACCATTCTTTCAGACAGACCACATAAGGCTGTCACTGCTGTCTCAATCAAAAGAGGATATGAAAGAGTGGGACGGAGATAAGATGAGGAAGTGGGGTCACACATTCAGCACATGCCCTAAAACGTCCCACCCACACTGATAAATCATGGGTCCTGTTGTCACATAGCATATGCCGTGCTGTCATTCCTGTTGAGTTGTAGTGAAGGCCAACCTACAAATTTATATTATGGTTTGTGTGGTCTTTTCTTATTTAAGGAAAATCTAGTACCAAGACCGTTTCTTATACACCTTTACCTGGTCTAATCAGGAAGAGGCAAGAAAACTTTCCAGGTCCTGGGAAACCTGTCCATATGGCAAACTGACGAAGCTGTGTTTACACACCTGATGTCCTTCTAACTAGAGTACATCCACTGAGCTTAGCCAGTGTGCCTCTGTGTGTGCGTGTGCGCGCGCGTGCGTGTGCCTAGTCCATAAGGCTGCTTCTGTTTACCTAAAGAAAATTAACCCCATCTTTGACACTTACAAGCGAGCATGAATCCAATGAGGCTGAAAATGTGACCCGCACACACAAGTTTCCCTATACACAGCACACAGGATGCAATCCTCGTGCCAATTTATGCACTTTGGTGGCAAGGTGATCAGGTTGAAATGCTCCGGTACAGTCATTGGTGAGGTTTTAGTGCTGGAAACCTGACTTTCTCTTTGCTGGCAATCTGAACAGGCTGCAGCTGTCAACTGGAGAGACAGAGAGTACAATCTGAAGTCAGGTATCAACACACCTCTGCGTAGAGGCCAGTGATGTCTGACCTTGCCGACAGTGACCTCGCAGCTCTGTGTTTACGGACTTCTGACTTTTCATGGTGTGTGCGCTACACTCTAATTCCAGTGACTCTTCTCTGCGCGTTGTCCCACTCTCAACTATGATTCTACATTGGACACACACTTGTTTTGACAATGAAAGAGAAAGGAAGGTCTAAACAGCAAAACTTACACAACTGGTTATTACATATATTATAAGTAAAGATTACACTGACACTGTCCAGCAGGCAGCAGATATATCTACAGTTATTCTTTCAGATCTCTCTGACAGGAGATTAGTTTAGCTGCATTCTTAGGAACATAACATCAAACACACCGAGAGGCACATGATAAAATTACAAGACAACAATTCAGGTAAAATGGCTTAATGACATGTGGTAGCACTGGATTATAGTGTGACAGTTACAGGTAAACAACATGCCAGTGCTGTTGTACAGTAAGCCTCTTTAATCTGGTTACACAATGAAAATATTTTAATTCATTGTTACACAGAAATGCAGGAGAGGTGGGTAAAAACTATGAAAAAGACAGATTGAAAGAAACAGACCAAACAGAGATAGTGGGAGAGAAGTTTTGTGTGTAGAGGAATAGTGATCAACTAAACCATACTGTTTAATTTACATGCTACAATTCTGCATCTATATTGTGTGAAGAAATACTCAAATAGCCTGGCAGCATGGCCTAAACGCACATCAACTGAGCATGTGTTTAATGTAAATGCACAGATACAGTACTGAGTTTCACAGATGACCTTAATGCATCTAAACACACAGTATTTCCCCAGATTTGCTACTAAACCTACTCCCACGCATTGCTCCGCACACCTGTGTGTCTTAGTAACAGTGCGCAGCAAACAGGTGGCGGTACTTGTGTCACTCAGAATCACATTTTAGTCTGTCTTTTATACGAAAACCTGCACATATCGCCAAGAAGCGCTGTCAGTGTGGTAGACTGTCCTCAGTGATCCTGTACAGCTTCCCTATGCAACTCATTTTACTGGAAGAAATTTATGTCAAAACAGAACTGAAAGAAACATCTTATCTTTTTTTTTATTACAAACCTACTTCAACCTTCCCACAGTCATTAAACAGCTTATTAACTGGTGACTGTTTCATAACGCTCTGGTTTTCATATTTGCAATGACTGCAGTTTCTTAGACTATAGCTCCCACAGTCTACCTATGAGCTTTACGCTTCCCTTTTTCTGGTAACTCACAGAATGAGCTCTCATCATACTGTTGTATAACACAACATGATTATAATTGCATTAGTGCTAAATAGTAATGTTGGAAGGGAAAATACTTAGAAAAGAACCAAAAATGAAAGTAGAGGAGTCATGGACAAAGCAGAAGCTCTATCACACCAAGTGAGACCTTACTGCTCTGGCCTCTGAACCTTATTGTATCCTCTGGAGAATGGTATGGATAACCACTGAACCAAGAGTCAGAGTCAGGGATCTAATGTCAAACACTTTGTTGGTGGTACACCTATACTAAAGAGACATGTAGGTTGGCTTACAGGCCACAGAGCAAACGGGCTGTTGAGGCAACAAGAGATTTTGACCTTCACTAGAGCAGGAGCTGAGAAGACATAAGCAATCTGGTCAGTCACCAAGCTCCTGTTTGATGGTTACTGCCATCAGCAGCACTACTCTCATAAAACTAGAACTCTTCAAATATACTTCAATGATGAAATAAACTGACACTAAATAAACTGACTTGTAGATGGAACATCTAGACATTTATGTAATCAAATGATTTGACTGTATTCTATAATGAAATATGTGGCCTGTTCTAAAATTACAACTTAATTCCAGGTACTATATGTCATGTCATTATTGACATTGCATTGGTGACCAGCAACAGGCATAACAAACTCTACTGCCAACATGCACATGCACACTAATAATAAACACATGTCAAACCCACTTTGCAAACAGGGGAACAAGAATGGTGGAGGCGGGGGGGAAGTAGTGTCATTATTTTTGTGTTGACACCATGGAAGACTTTGAAGTAAAGAACCTGAATAAGCGACAGAGTATTACAGTCTATAGTGTGCAGTTTACAGCTGCAACTTATACACAGCAGCATACCCCACGGCTAAGGTGTTGTTACCGACACAGGCCTGGCTACTGATTACAAAAAGCAAGCAGTGACACACAGATGACAGTACCAGGGGGAAAATGGTGAATTATTGTCTAACCCAGTGGGTCCCAAAGTAGTAAGAGTACCCCAGGCAAAAATTCCAATGCAGTTTTATTTCATACTCCAATATTATTTTTGTAAAAATCCATGTGCTCTTATGTAAATATCTGATAAAAAAAAACAATGTGGGAAAAAAAACATCTGAACATGTTTTGAATGTCTATATTATTATTTTTATAATTTAATATGTGCTCGTGAATGTCTATCAGTTCTATTCAGACACAATTATCACGAGTCAGTCTTAAAAAGTGCACTCACTTGTGGTGCTTCAAGCTTGTGTTACAAACGTTAAGACATGGCAGAATTACTTGTCTTGTACACAAGGCAGCAATATGTTTTGCAATGATTTATTTAAAAACACCCGCGCTAACTTACATTTTTTTAAAGACAAATGAGTCTGCTACAATAAATTTTAAACTCATAAGAAAATCGTAAAACTTTGCATGTAAAACAAAACTTAACCACTTCAATATTCATACCCTCGATGTTGGCGTTTTAGCAGAAGTTACACTTCAGTGGCAGAGGGGAAACACAACTTACCCGCTGTGAAGGTCAGTCAGAACGAGGGTAAGAGTCAGATTCAGCACAAGTGCGTGCCTACTTCTCTCGCACGCTCTAAAACCACAAAACCTGCCAGGTACTACCAGAGGGAAAAAAAGTCTGCTTTATGAGAAACACGCTCAAGTGTTTCAAGTTTCTCAGTACAGCAACAAACTCCGACAGCGTGCTCGACCGCGGCTACGTCTGAGGTTAATTTGTTTTCAGTGTGACAGTAGAGATGTCACAACTTGGAGCGCCTGCGGTCACCTGTGCCACCACCAATAGCAAAGCACCAAAGGGTTTGTGGGAAATGTAGTTTCTTCATATCCTCGAGGGACTCTGCGGTAGCCTATTTTTGAATCGATGACGTGTAAACCAGAAATACACGTCTTAAGGGGGAGAACTTTTTGCTGGCTTCTACTCATTTATTAATCCCATGATTAGCCTGTAGTACAGTCGCTGTTTCATTTCAACATAACCTATCAGTATTAAGATGCAAGAGCAGCACACTATTCTGGACATTATTTTTGAACATCTGTTCAAAAAGCTGTGATTCAGATAAACAATAATCTATTTGCAGCAAATTTACTATTATAATCCTAATTCACTGAAAATACCTAGTTTCAACAGACTGTTTTAGAGAATTAATCCAGTATTTTGAGGCCATAACTTGTGCTTTTTTAATTATCTTGATTGCAAAGTTCTTTCTCACCTTCTTTAATTATAGGTGCCACACACTGTCCGTCAACCTTTAACTCCCAACATCATATTTCTAAATTTTAAAATGAATTGACACAGCACATGTGCGTCTCTACAATTTTAAAGACAAGCTAATGTAGTTGGGAAAATTGTCGATACCTCCCTTTCTCAATATGTGGCATTTTGTTTGATTTGTCAAAAAAGTAGCCTAACATGTTCACTAGCACAAAAAAGGCATTCATACATATAAAGAGATATAAAGGATGGTATAATCCTGTTACTGCTGGAGCCAAGACTAACTTCGGTTAAGTAGAGCACGGAAGACAGTGAGTGCAACACGTGTAGTGCCCAGGATGTCCACAAGAGGGAGGCAAAGATAACAGTATTGCATATCAACATTTCATAACAAAGGAGTTAAAGTGTTTATCATGGGCAGTTTCCAGGTTAATGTTAGTGCAGATAGTTTGCTTACCAGTAGAACTCTCGCCTGATGAGACTAGACCACAGCTCCTGCTAACCAGAATTTCCTGATGCTCTCTGCAATGTTTTTTTTATCCCTTCCAATATGAGCTCTCACCATCATAATCAAGCATGTAATTAGAGTTTTACGGTATACTATGGTATGAAAATTGACATTTATCCTACCATTCACATTTGCTTATTACCAGTATTGAAGAAAAAAAAACACAACGCACCTTTTTCCCCCCGACTGCCTGTCAGACTCGGCAACGGGCGCCACACGCACACATGCAGCGGACAAACTGCAGAAAGGAGGCTGAAGTCACCAAACTCCATCCACTAAAAAGAAATTAAAATTAGCAGTGTTGGATTACTTTGCATATCTCAAAAACGAACACCTTGGAGAACAGCGACCCTCCATAGGTCAAACTGTGTGTCCCTTTTGTTAATTTAATCTCAAATCTCAAAATGTGCCATCGGAATAATTTTCCACATCGTCTGTTCGTTCGCTAATCTCTGATTTAGAAAAGAACTCGCACTGACCCCGATCCGCCCACAGAAACAAACTTTCCCAGCTCCCATAAATTATGAGTGAGTGGAGATACAGGCAGGTCTGGCTGCATTCTCACGCCCTTACAATAAATTATCTATTTCGATAATCACTTAGAGCAGTGTCACGACATGTCTCACTCTTGTCAGGTGTTTTACAAACCAATCAGTCGATTAATGGTGAAAATAATCAGCAAGTTAATCCGTAATGATAATAATCAATAGTTATACTTGGATACAAACTAGTTCATGAGAGCTCCACCTCAGACAAGTCAAATCCTGCTTTTACATCAGTGCATGGGTGATATTAATGGAATAACATACTGTATAGGATAACGTTTTTCTGCATTGAATAACCTAGTAATACTTTAAGTACATTTTGTGTTAATACTTTAATATAACTAATACAGGACTTTTTACAACAGTGTGATATTAGGACTTAAAGGATGTGAATGCTTCTACTACTGGTGCTAACAGGCAAACTAACATGCTTTAGTTATATAACATGTTATAGTTGTGTGCTTTTTAAAAAAATCATCTTTATAACAGTTTATTCTTTAGGGTCATTCTAATGCTCAATCAACTGGCACAGTCACTTGTAATAAAAACAAAAGACCCATGTTTTTCATTCTTCTGAGGGTGGTCGTAGCTGATAATAGTAACTGGGTAATACCATGAAACAGTGATATTTTCTAAGACCATTATCATACAGTGAAAATCTCATACCATAGCAACCCCACATGTAATTGGCATGAGTCTACTCACATTCAATACACACAACACAGACACCTTTAAATAGTTTGAGTTATTCAAAGTTGAAGATCCACATGTGGCAGTGGGAGACATGGCTCACATTATCAGCAAAGAGACAGTCAAGGTGTGCTTAGCCACACGCACACAAAGCACCTAAAAGAAACTGACCAAATTAGCAGATGACTGGATGACTCCTGAGGTAAATCATATCTTTGGCCCCTTCAGTGTAAAGCAGTGTCTTTATTCTTCACATAATACTAAATGAGGCTGCTTTAAACTATATAAACTAAAAAAAAAAAACAGCATAGTTTCAAGAATTTCAGTTTGACTTTCCTATAATATCCTTTTCAAACCACATCAGATTGGCTATGTCTAGTTGTACACATTCCTATTAGCCAATCTGATGTGGTTTATCATGTTTACGGATATCAAAACAGCACTGACAACGGTCTTCTGGCTATCATAACATGCTTTTCCATCTTACCCAGCCCTACTTATCCATGTTTTCAGAAAGATTCAGGAACAAAAGTGTAGAAAGAAAAGGACAGTCAATATCGCCGTGTCTCTAGTTTTCCTAGGAATAATGCTTAACTATTCTTTGTCCAATGACAATGCAGGAAGAACACCACTACAAGTAATGTCCTGAGGAGTGGTTGATGGGCATGCAGCCCATTTGACACTAGAAAATGAGATTTGCATCCTCTCTCACAACAGTCAGTTATAACTTTCTTTAACATCTATCAGTGACAAGTAAAATATAAATGGGCAACATGTGCCAGTGAGCATAATACTGGGTTTTTCAGAGTAATCCAGTATCATTTATCTGTTCTGCTGTAGAACCAACTGAAGGCACAGGGTCCCTATATGGAGGGCAGATGGGGATACTGTGGATGCCACCAGTCCATGAGCCTCACACTGTGCACCGGATCCAACACCACCTGGGTCCCTCCTTGATCTCCCCTCTTCTTCCCACGATGGAGAGGTGTGTCCTGGAACACCAGACGAACGCGGTGGTGGCGCATGTCTGTGCTCACGTTGATTGTGAACTATGAGAAAAACAAAGACAGCCCAGTGTGATTTAGGAAGGAAATTAAACAGCCAGTGCTGCATGCAAAAGCTCATTTAGTCTTTGGCGCAGATGCTAAACCCATTTACTGGCAAACACAATAAAAACATATTAGCACAGCTTTAACAAGCATGTTGCCAGTAGGCAGGAGGATTGCTGGATGTTTTTTGACCCGATTCACTTAAGACGTCCCTTTTCTGTCTACATTCATCGTGAGCTTTTATGGAGCTGTGATAAAAACCTATAAGCTGTAAGAGCAGGAATCTCCAACACTTCACCCATGAGCTACAAGTAGCTCACTCCCTGTTTTCGAGTAGCTGGTTCAGAGGATAGAGTAAGCCTATGTACAAACATTACACAACTACATCACTCAGTAAACCTGCTCCAAATGCAATCCAATTAAAGATGCATCATTGTGACAAAAGGCTGCTTATGGTTGAATTAGTTTTATTAGCCTGCTCCCCGTTTATCAGGTTGTGAATAGCACACTGACACTGTGTGTTTCTAAAGCAAGGTAGTTCTAAAACACACATCCATTCTCATTTCATTGACTGGACTGCAGGTTTACTAATGCCTGACTCCAGTTGATGTTTAGTGACATCAGATGCCTTGGCATTTCCATTACTTTTTCCACCATCACTTTGTATGTTTATGGGCTTTTGCAATAAAGACATGAAAGATGACTGTGTTTTATCAGCTCATAAATATTGTGTTTGTTGATATTTGTGCCTTTGGTGAAAAACAGATCACGTTTCATAAAAAAATTCATGCAGAAAACCAGGAATTTGCAAACAGTGCCATTACTTTTTCTTGCGAGTGCATGGTGTACTGAAAGCTCTAGTTGTTCCAACTTGCCTTTTTTTTATTAGTATGTCTTTCATAAAGCCCCATCTCATTACCTTATCCCTGTGTCTGCACCTGGGTCCTATATAACCTCATACATGACAGTAGTAGCCAACAGTCTCCAATAACCAGGAGATACTAACCAGGGTCAATGTCATGCCCATGACCACAGGAGTAAAGATGAAGTTGAGGGTAGTGACCTGAAGCACGTAGCAGTCAGAGTCAGGGTTTGTGTGGACATCTTTATACTGTCTGGGCGTGTGCAAAGACTTGACACAACCATTCTTACTGTGTCCCTGCTGTGACAGAGACAACCAGATAAATATTTAAAACACAAACTTAACTGCAGGAGCCACAAAAGACTAATGACAACTTGTTATAAAGAAATATATCTGGATTGGAGGATTCTTTTTACCTGCTTTAAAAATTTGAAGTTGAACTCCCACAATGCCTCTGGCCGAGTCCCTGCCAACCTTTTGACCCAGAACAGTAAACACTGCAACAGAGACATTAAGCATATAAAACAGCAAGTGATTTCTACAGTGAAAGGTTAGCTGGGACATCTGTCTAAGCTGGGTCTAAATTATCTTCATTTACTAATAGTTGTTCATGACATGATGATGATCTAAACATCCCTCATGTTTTCTGGAACTTCCATTAAGCCCTCAACCTGAATTCCACATGTGTAGATATAGTCATATCAAAGTATTCACAACCCGTCACTTTTTTGCAGTTGAATAAAATGTGCAAAATGTGAAGGGGTGTGAGTGTTATCCCAAGTGACTGTATATACTGTCACTTCTGATTGATTAGTTACTCTCTCCATTAGCTTGTGTCTGTGTAAGACAGGACATGAGGGGCGCTCACAGACACACACAACAGAGCAGAGAGCTCCCAGTCAGCTTTACTTTCATCATTGCAACTTATCTTAATATATCCTCGTACCACTTATTTCTTCCCCACTATATGACCTGCTCAACCAGCATGAGGCTAACGTAATGTTGCAGGTAAACGGAGCTGGTGCATAGCATTGGACAACTTTTATGAGTACTAGAGGGTGGTATCGGATCCCATACCTAATACATGTATAGGTACATGTCTACTCATCATCATCACTCTGATGTCAGTGGTTCACTCATGTAAGAACATCCATAGCTGAATGAAATTCCTGTTACAACCCTGCTTACAGCTGAGAGGTTATATCGTTTACATTGCATACATATGAGAACAAACCTGCTCCCACATAGGTTTGAGATTACAGACATTTTGCCATGACAAATCTTACAAGGCCTTCAAAAGATCTGGGGTCCTGTTAATCTAAATTCAAATAACAGGCCCGAGGGACTGAAGTAAAATAAAAACAAACCTTTAGTTACACAATAACTATAGCAACACATCTGTTCAATAACCTTGGAGTTGATCAGTGTAGTGGGCGTGGATTCTGGCAGAGCAGGGATTTTTGAGACACGCAAGCTAAACGGCTCATACAAATGAAAAAGGGAGCGAATGACACGGGCCCGTAGACATTGCATCATGTCAATAGAGTCAGGCTGGAGACGAAATGGAAGATCGGCATCAATCCTGTAGTGTCTGTGAAAGAAACACAGGAAAAGAAAATATGTTAATTATACAAATTGTCAGTTTAGCGCATTACTTGATTAATTCATTGGACCACATTCAAGACATGTTATCTTTTCACATATGTTGCTAGCAATGAATATGGTCATTAGTTTAACAAGAGATTGTGAATTTGCGAAATGTTGTATTGTCAAAAAAAGTAAAATGAAACCATAAATAGCATCAGTTTTATTCCCAGCAGCACTGATTTCAGCTTGAAAGGGCCCATGGCATGCTTTTACTTGATTTTTAACTTATCTACAATGTTACAATGGTGAATTATCATCTTAGACATGACCTAAAGCTCAAAAGATGAGGTGTCCGTATATTCTGGTATTTCTATGCAGAAGCAACTCAGTTTATACACGCCTCACAAACTCTTGAGCCTTTTTTCTAACAAAATATGTGCATGTTGTGAATTTATCTTGAAGTCTCCAGTGTTCCATGGCAGTGGAAATCACATTTGCCAGGTTTTCAGCCATATGTCACTCCATCATTGCTTTAAAATAAAGAGCAGTGCTCTCTATTTTCCAGTTGCTTACATAATGGCAAGTGTCAGACCTCACCTTTTATAAAGCCTGGTCCAAAAAGCTGCGGTGCAAGTGACTGTCCAGGCATTTCTACAGATTAGAGCAAATCTGCACACATCCTCAGGCCGAATATAGGAGGAGAGCATTAACCAAATGTCAACTGGATACTCATCACCATCACTGCTCTCACTGCTTCCTACAAAGACAACACAGAGAACAGGAAAGCTTCAGTCCTCCTCAATCACCTCATTCATCCTTAAGCATACTCAAAGAAACTAAGTATTACCCTTTCTCCTCTTGTTTTTCTTCTTGTGGACCACTTTTATTTCATTTTCTCCATCCTCTCCGGGGTCTAGGTCATCACTGCTGTCCAAAATGTCTGTTTTGACACTCTGTGCAGACGAGAGGACTTCTTCTACAGCACCATGAGATGCTTCCAGGCCGCAGAGTAATTTTACTGGGGAAACACAGTGGTGGGTTAAGCACGTGGGTCATCTCTGACAGACCAGGCCAAGTGACACTGTCATATAATGTCTCACTGTACACAGTCAAAGGATTTACCTTCTTTTTCAACTGCATTTACAACAGCCTTTTTCACCCTCCCCGACTTCACAACGGCTGGGTCAGCATCAGCATAATCAGCAACAGTCACTAGGAAAAAGGACGTATGTAAAAATGTCTTTAAACGTGTCTACAAAACACGCTTTGAACATTAATTAGGATATGTTACTGCTATACTTTGTTAACTTACAATGCATGTCGTATGACTTTAGAAGCAACGCTTTAGTAACAGACACTACGTAAAAGCTGACTGTCCAATGCCTCATTTATAATATGCTAACATACATATACATTTAAACCAAATAATTCACACTGAACGTTGTAAAATAAGAGGGACTACTTCGATTCCAGCTCACTGCCAGGCGCTTACTTGGCGGGGCTAGCTTGCTGGCTAACGCAGCCTACCTGATTCGGAACAAACATCCCCAGCCCTAAATTTCAGCCGTTTTCGGTTCCCTTTCTTGGGCATGTCGACACCAATGATATGTGGTTGCTTAACGAAGCCGTAAGTCCTGCCATGTCTGTATGGCAAGCTGAGGTAGATAGAAAGAAAGAAAATTGATAGAGAAATTGAAAAAAGCTCCTCCGGGATCTTCAGCCATCATGGAATGACGTACATCCGTGCAAAAAACGCGAGACTATCGTTGTAGTTTTTGTATTTGTCTAGTGCTTTACTGCCATCTACTGGTGAGTCTGAACATTTCAATTCTTGCGACCAAGTTTTGGCAATCAGTTCCCTTGAAGAAAGGTGTAAAGCGAGTCTGCCTTATCATTTTATCCGTCATCCAAGGAACTTGTAAATGATAACTCCAGTCAGACTTCAATTTCTCCTCTTTTTTTAGCTTGTCAGTTAATTGTATTTAAATTCACAGTCACTAAATGCCTTTTGCATTAACTGGCAACGAAGGTTCAACGATGTTGACCAATGAAGACAAATAACTTATCAGCAAACAGGGATTGATTAATCCATTGAAATTGAAGGTGTCTCATGGCATGGCTGCTTTATGTCTGACTTCATTGACAAGCCATGTGTTCCTGTGTCAACTGTTTCATCTGTCAATGCTCTCAACAGCCATGTCAAAAATGTGAATTACACTCAGCTGCTCATAAGGTTACTAATGCCACAACTGATGCTGCCCAAATATAAGTGGGAAGACTTCTATAGTGACCATCTTTCAGAGAAGGAAGACATTTGCAGAAATTATTACCAGTGAAAATGTTATCAGCCCCAAGAATTACGCTGTTAAACAGATGCAGAGTGCTGTGTTCAGTGACCTGTGTAAGTATTTTGTAAGAGTGTTGCAGGCCGCCACAGCATCCCAGGGAGCTTGTTGACAGAAATTGTTGTCAAGAACTTTAAAATTCGATGGCACAGAGCTCCTGGGGCAAATTCCTATGAAATTAAAGCCAAATAATTTTCATAGAACGCTCTGCTTTTCATAAAGACGTAAAGAGTAGAGGTGATCCTTTAACTTTGCATTGAGAAATGACTCCCTGACAGTAATGTAGTTAGCACAATGACTGTATTGTCTTCTCCAACTTTACAAATGGGTCAGAGGAGATGTCAGGAGTCAGGTTCTTCAGAAGCCCTTTGCTGTATATGTATATATCTGAAATTAGGGTCACTGAAGTCATATATCTTGTGACCACTATTGATTTCATCTTAAAGGAAACAATTTGTCCATGTATAGCAAGATATTTTTTATCAATAGCAACATCTACTCTCATTGTACTTTTCACACCTACAAGTGCCTCAAGTATCTCTGTATCTCATTAATATCTGATTAAATCTCATTTGCCAACAGACCCTAGAAATTTGGCCTAAAACTGTACTATGATCAACAACTGAAGCTTCTTTAATCTTCTGCCCAGACTCCAGCCTACATCCCAAACATAACTCTGTAATTAAAGGGAATAAATACATCAAACTGTTCTAATAGCTGTCCAATAAATGCTCATTTGAAACTAATCAGAGCCATTGCCAACTGACAAAACAGTACAAAAGAAAAGCAATGCTGTAATTAGAAGAAATAGAAAGGTTTTTTTCTTTACAGGCCAAAAAGTGGTCCGCTGACCTGGTGGGTGGATTCCAAGCCCTGATCATTCTGTATAAGGTTTTGTTTTGTTCATGTCAGCATAACTGTTCTAGGACTATTGTGGTTTCCTCCCACAGCCCATCTGAACAGAGAGACTAGTTTAACTTTATAAAGAAAAAAAGTCTGTCTGAGGTCAGAAGAAGTCAGAATCAAAAATATTGAAGTTGTTTCAAGCATTGCTTCAGTGAATCTTTTCCAGCCATTTGGTTGCAACAAATAGCCAATAGTATCTGCCAGTACACACTGATAGAAAGAATCAGTGCTCTTAACCAAACTATACTGAATGAAACAATCAATATAACAAATTAAATTTATTGATTTAAGAATGATTTATCTATTCTCTGGGAGTCAAAGTTATTAATATAATGCAGTTGGGGGAAAGGGTCTTATATGTTTTCATAGTTTTTAAGGGCTTAGTTGAGCTTGCCCTTTGTGGAGGACCTGTACACCTCACAGGTCACAAGGAGGACAGGGCAGATTTCTGCAGACCCCTCACATCCTGGACACAAACTGTTTGAACTCCTCCCCTCTGGATGGCACTACAGGACACTGTACGCCAAAACAACCAGGCACGGGGCAGTTTCTTCCAACCTGCCATAAGTCTCATGAACAAGTAATCCATGCTTGTTTGACATCCCAGAGCAATGAACTGTAAATAAAACTACTGTATATATGTCACTCTGAGCTCTTCTACCAAAATGTGTAAATACAGGCTATATATGCATATACAGTATATTTACAAATGGATTGTCTCTTTTTTCCAATGCCTATCTGTAATATGTCTAATTTGAAGGAAGCACTGTGACTATGCATTCTTGCCACCATCAAGCATATGGAAAATAGCATTTGAGCTGCAGCTTACATTTTGTAAATTAAATGTATGGATGTTCCTCAGCAGTGTTTTCCTTCCCTCAGCTACACATGCCACCACTCTGTCAACCCCCTCTTAGACAAGTTTTCTCCTCCAGGTCTGGGAGCTGTTTAGAAGTGGATTGTATTGTGCAACGGGCCTGTTCTCCCCGTCAGATCAGGGAGCGACCTCAAGCTGCATAATTCTAGTTTCAACATAATCAGAATCAGCTTTATTGGCCAGGTGTGATGGACACACGAGGAATTTGACTCTGGTACATCGGCTCTCAATGTGCAAACAGTAAACAAACATAAGGCTGTCAAATTAAATCATGATAAACAATAAAACAGAGGGATGGTCCAACTTTATAACCATAAAACAAAAATACTGCTGCCCTGGCCGACCCTACTCCTGCTGAGCCGCCATGGAGCTCCCTAATGGTGGACATTTCTCATCTCGCTCCAATGCTGGTGGTTGTGACATATATATTACCAGTCCTCGTCCAGTTTTTATTTGTATTTGCTGATTTAAACCATCTTCCCCTTGCACTGATTGATCGATTGATTATTTTTTGTTTCATTACCAGGCTCTGTATAGCCTAGAGTTGAACATACTCATACACCTTCACACACAAACCACATGTAAAGCTTCCCTACATTCCTTTGTAAATGTGTTGTATTAATGTTCCATGTTTTGTCTTGTTACCACACTGTTTTGTGTTGCAATTTTAAAAAAAGCATCATTATTATTGTCAAAATAACATTCATACACATTAAAATATTGTACTCATATCTCAGTTATCTCTTAAATCAAGTAACAAGTCCCTTTGAACAGCCTACAGTCTACAGTATTGTTCACACTCAAACTTTTTAATAGACCAACTGACAAGTGAATATTTGCTTGTGTCCAATTCAAATAGTGTAGACAGTAATTTATATGTAGCAGCTGTCTTGGATAGATTTTTTAAAACTGCACTGCTAAAGTAATGGGTGAAACACAAATCGTCTCACCAGAAGATGTCAGAAATGAAAACACAATCAAAATAAAAAGGCCATCCTGGGAGAGCTCCTTTCACTCAGGAAGCAGGAGACAGTTTGATAAGATACTGATTGGTCACTGAAGTCTACACTATGTGCTTGTTTAGACGACAACATTGGCCTCACTCCTGTTAATGTTAATTATGTGATAATCAAACCGTTTCCTGACCACTGCAACACTTGCAACAACAAAATATACCTCTTGATCACTGGCACAGCTTATGATTGTTATACTTCAGTTCCTCGGTCTTGTGGAATGAAACCACCAAACAATTTGGTCACTATAGTGCACAGCCAAAGCTACACGGTGACTCCGGTCTCCCAAAAATGGTATTACTAACACTATTAATATTTATCATCAATATTTTAATGTCGATCCTGCAGGGTGCGCTGGACACTTAATTGCACGACTTGCTTTAGCTGATGCCAGCTGAACGAGCACCCAGGCTCAGCTGTTAGGTCATGGACGTGCCTATATGATGATCATGTGAAAAGTGAATTACATTTTACCCATCAAGTGTCAGGTTTGTGCTACAGGGTGCAGCACGGCCTGAGTGTAGAATCATTATTATTTAGGATGACATGAAGGACCGTTCAGACTATTTCAGATCTAGTTTTTGCACGCGCATATGGCGCAAAAGGATGAGTGTGGGGAGCCATTCCATATTTCAAAAGCTGTAGCCCGGTAACGACAACTGCAAATTCCAACGTGTGTGTGTGTGTGTGTGTGTGTGTGCGTATTAGGCAGAACGACTATTTTACAGGAGGAGGAGTGAGCGTCGGTTCGGTGGCGGTGTGAAGAGATGGAAGCGGAGAAAGGGGATGCAGATAAGACTCGCTCTCACTGCCCCCAGGACTAAGGACGCAAACTGGACATTTTCTCTGGGGTATTTTTTTGTGGTTTTTATTTTCCTGTCAGTGTACTATGATCTCTGTTCTGCTCTGTCGGGCACCACCCCTCCAAACGTACCCGTCCATCTCTGAGCTGTCAATCATATCACGCCGGGATCTCTACATGTGAGTGTATGGCGCGCCGGGCAGGGCCGATCAGCTCACGGGGTGAAAAAACACCGGTTAATATGGATGAAAGGTCAACCATCACCTCATCATTTCAGTAACTCTGATTAGGTAAGGCGATGGAAATCTTAAGAATGCATATTTGATGCACGGTTTTTTTAATGTAATGGAAATAAAGCGCGTATCAACGATTGCATTTGCTGTCCCTTGCTGTGGGGCGTTATAGGCCCTTTTTTCAGTTATTATGTCTGTTTATGAGCCCTGTAACCCACATGTTTGCCTTCCGACAGCGACACGGTCCTATAGCGTTACCCACACCACAGAGCAGGAAAGATGATGTGCGAGGTGATGCCGACCATCAGCGAGGGAGACTCGGCTGGTCCTCCGAGAGGCGCCGGCGGTGTCCCGAACGGCTCGGACCAAGAGGCCAACTTCGAGCAGCTGATGGTCAACATGCTGGACGAGAGGGATAAGCTGTTGGAGTCCCTCAGGGAGACTCAGGAGACCCTCATTCAATCTCAGACTAAGCTGCAGGGGGCGCTGCACGAGAGGGACGTGCTCCAGCGACAGATCAACGCTGCGTTGCCTCAGGTGAGAAGCAACCGGCCTGTAGAGG